TTTCTGGTGAATACTTGATTCACATGGCTATTGCTGGTAGCAACCTACAAGCCCACATAGCCATCAAAACCCAGCTAAACTGGCAGTTCCTGCAGAAATTTGCCCAATTCCTTCTTGAAAATATCAACCCGTGTGACACTTCTCACTGGATCTATTCTACCCATCCTAGCGTATCTTTCACTCAAATGATGTTCTATTTTAGTATGCAGATTTGGGGGCTCCTGACCTTCAAGTATAAATTGTGTGTTCCCTCTCCTATCCCTGTTCTATAGAGTACATACCAAGTGCTTTCAGACAGCCCCAGTAGTCTTGGCATTTTAAAGTTAATATGAATGCAATATGAAATGTGTGCGCCCTCTATTTCACATGTACTAGAATTTTTAATGAATATTCTAGTAAGCACAAATTAAATACCCAGTAACTTATTTATTAGTATTTACTATTGAAGACAGAAAACAAAAATGTTCCAAAAACATGAAATGTGGTTAGGCTCAGTGGCAGACACCATACAGTATTACAATTCACCAACCATTTGCCCAATGGCCAATTCTTTATAGACAACTGAAAGTTCCAGCTCATTGCAATCTATTTGAGCAAAGCCAAGGTTGTACCATGTATTTTTCCTGTTCATTTATGAAATTCAACTTAGTAAGGGTAACCTGGTTTCATAATTATTTTTTTGCAGAAGGGTAAATGAAGCATTCAGAAAGTGTTCATCAATGGAAGATACATTCACGGCCAACTTGCTTACAGTTTATCGAGGAATTAATACACAGTGAATATTGAGCGAGGTTATACTAGTAAGTTTGGTTAGGGTGAATATGCTAGCTAGACCATTCAAAAAGTTAAATAGCATACAGAATCATATACCTGGCACCCAGCAAGTAACATCTTGTAATGCAATGCTGTTTTTAGCCCTAAGTAAACAAGTATTTCTGGGACAGCCACTTCAGTGGCTCTCCAGAGCTTCTGCACTGGAACACCAGGATGAATACCATCTCGCCAGGCATCTATCTTGTGGCTTACCGAGAGTAGGGACCAGAATCCTGACCCCTGTATATAGGTGGAGAAGCAGTGTCGAGAAATCTCTCGCACAGGAAAAACTAGCCAAAATGAAAGAAAAAAAAAAAAAAAAAAAAACACCCGAGAGAAGAGAGAAATATTTAATATTCATTCATACCAAACACTTTAAACTCTTCAAAATAATAAAAATACTATACAGCCTTAATGCATACCTTCCCCACTACCAAACGGTAGCAATATTCAACCAACGGGCCAGTACTGCCAAGACACACACACACACTCGCCTGGTGCTTCAACTGTCAGCCAGTGTTTACTAAAAATATACCAGTTTAAGGAAAGTTCTTGGATTTTCGGTTTTATGATCCAGTGTTGGGATTCATGCTTTAAAATGCTCTTAGATTGTATATTTGGCAGTCACTTTGCTTGTGTCATGTTTTCTTAACCTGCATCAACTATGGTTTCGGAGTATTTCTCTGGCATGCTGTTTAGAGACGACCATCGGCCACCAGAGATCTTTCCTCTCTAAGGGTGGATTCCTCTGTAGATGGGAGTGACAGACTAGTATGGCACTTGGGGTTCTGCTTATTTAGGTGTTGATACCAGTATTCTTGGCTGGAATGGTCGTTGCATCTCTTCTCAATCTGTCAAAACTTGATATGCCAGTTTACCTCCTCAACTGTCTGAAGCCAGCCTTGTTCAGAGACCAATTGTGTCATGTATGGATTTGATGGGTGTTTTCCAAACTCCAATGGGCAGGTGTGTGACTTTTGTTGCTGTTCTTTGGTTTTGGCCAAGCTTCAGTCTCGAGTGACAGCATTTTAGGTGGTGGGGCAGTTTAGAATTTGTGCTTTACCCTTCTTTCTCTTTCAACATCCAGGCTGTTGTTTCTATGAGTCATTTCAGAAGTGATGCCTGTAGGGTTTTCTTTCTGTTGTGATAATGTTGGAGTGATGGGTTCTTACTCCACTCTAGTTCAGTTTTTCTTCCTCTCTGAATAGGCTTGGGGTTTCTTTTCCCTAAATCAGAGGGTCTCCGTCTTAAGGCAAGGTGATTTTTGTTTCTGCCCACTTTCGTTCAGTTTATGACTGACTATGACGCAAATGCCATGGTCTATTCAAGGCATCTGTTTAGCCTAGGTTTTCATTTTTATTGTTTGTTACAAGGTGGCCAAGAACCTGCCATTTTTCCTCAAGATTGGGTCCTAGTGTCAAAATTGGTCCCAAGTTCATTCCAATTCAACTCTTCAATGACATCATGGTTGCAGTATGAAGTACTTGCCTCCTCTTGGCTACCAGTTTCTCATTTATTTTTAGTAGTCTGTCATAACATCATCCTCTTTATTGGGCAGTGTCCCATTTGTCCAACTTGTCTCAGGTTCACCAGGTGGTTTCAAACCACTCTTGACACTTTTCCCCTGGTTCTGCAGGGTGCCTTTATTGCACTTTCCAATTAATATCCCCTTTTGGGGTTGGCTGGGATTTCAGGTGGATCAACTTTAGAATTTCTACATTTAGGCCTTGCTGTTTTAGCCTCTGCATAACTTCTTCCACTAGGTTCCTTCAGATAGTATGCTTTGATTGCCCCATCTTTGCAGCATCCAGGTGCTAGCTTTTCCCAATGTTTGATTAGTTTGGGCTCTCAGTTTAAGTGCAAATCTTCCAGTGCTGCTATACAGTGGCTTCGTAGCCAACTCTCTGAAGCCCCAGCTGGGGCTGGGGCTTTAGGTCTCCTGATTGCTCAAGTTTATTATGCAGACCTACTTTGGAGCTAGGTCTCCAGTTGTTGCCTAGCCAGTTACAGGAAGGGGTTCTTACCAGTTGCAGTATGCACATTGTTGCAAGTTACTACCACATACCCCTGTGATACAGGGGTATGTGACAGTTTGGTTTGCACTCCTGTGCACCAGTTTGAGGATTTGGTCAGCTGTCTCTACTGCACTGCTTTCCTGTGTGCACAATGGAGGACCTGCTTTTTTCCTTTCCCAATGTGGTGCTCCTATATGGATTAAGACTGTTTTCAGACCAACATCCTAATGAAAGTTTCCATTGGTGGAATTTCTACCAGTCTCTTCAATGATCTCTAACGCTTTACCCAATTTCGGTAGAGGGGACTTTGAATGCCTCAGTGTGGAGTTGCCAGCTTTTGGTGCTTACAGATCCATTTTCAGACAGCAAGACAGTCCAGGTGGATGATCTTTGCCCGGGTTGATTCCTGGACAATTTTTTATATGGTGCCCTTCATTTCAGCTTCTTCCAGGACCATCCAGGTTGAAGCCTTTTGCTGGTCACATCGCTCTTCCAGCTCTTTGGTGGCTGGTACATCCATGGCTCCTGCCCTTTCTCGTAGGTTGTCCCCATCAAATTCTTTTTACGAGCTTTGACTCTCGCATGGGATCAGCAACTGGCACTGTAATGAGTTTATGCTGTATGCAGTCTCCTGCCACCTGGCCTTGGCTAAGCTTCTTTTCTTTGTCAATATCATGGCTTTTATTTTGACCCAATTTATCAAGGTAATTTGTGGCTTCAATTCTCTTCAGTAACTTATTCCTCCGAATCCATCAGGGTCTTTATTCTGGGCTCTTATCTATTTGTTTCCTCCATGGTTTCAAGTCATGCCTTCAGCAATAGTAGATAAGTTTCCAACTGTTATCTGCTTTGCTCTTGTCTTGAATAGTCATGTGGAAAAACTAAGCCCCTAATCAATGTAGGCCTTGACAATTTTTTTAGTAGTGATTTGAGTTAAATGGTTGTAGGCGCACGCATTTCCTACCTTGTGACACAGACAATACTTATCACTGTCCTTTGATCTCGTAGCCTGGAACCCTGGATGTTCTGTCGACAGGTGGCTGCTATTCGCAGCATCTGCAAGTTGCTTCCAGCAAAGTACAGTAGCTTTTTTTTTTTTTTTATCCTTACTCCCTTCACCCCATGCCCCAATATTTTTCCCCCGTTTTAGCAGAGCTATCATTCCAAGTTGGCCACATTTCTTTTCTCCCAATCTTAACTTTTGTCAGTTTGCTGCACTCACAGTTTCCATTTAAATTATCTACAAACCATATCTGAACCCAGAGGCTTTTGTTAATCACACGATGGCAGTCGGATGTCTAATGCCAGCCACATCTTCTGCACACTTGTATGGTATTTGCATAAATTTTACACTACTGAATGTTTCGCACGTCCACCTGGGTCTGGCATCTAGAAATTTAAATGTTAAGAGGTAAGCGTGTTGCTTACCTCTTAACATTTGTGGTAAGCACACGAGTTTTATAGTCGTGTTGCAGTATTTTTTATGCGAGTTGCCTTGGAGAAAACGTTTCGGGAAGCGACCTAGAAGGGCCTCCCCTGAAATAAGTATTGTATTAGGTACGTATAATGAAACATGCCATCCTCATGACCCTTCAGTGGCTTCCTTTTTTCCTGCCTTGTTTTCCTTGCTCATCTGTGTTTTCTATAGTTTACTCAGGGTCTATAAAGTAGCCGAGAAGCACGGTCATTAATTAACTAGTGCTATCATCTGGTGGCATGACTAGGAAGTAAAGGTGGTGGTGTTGGGTATTTTGGCTATTTGGAATATGTACAAGCTTTTCTGGTCCTCTTTTTGGCCTTCCTGGCAGGTTGTCTCTTCACGTGTATTATCTTAGAACATGTTCAGATTTTCTGTCTATGAAGGAATAAGATTCTGCTATGTACCTACTTTCAGTAGGCCACGAGATAATCTTAGACAGGACTGGTGTATAAGCTTTGGGGAAGCTACCACGATTCCAGTAAGGAGCGGCATTTTATTTTGCAATGCTTTCTGAACATTTTTGGTTATAACATAATATTTAGTTCTAAAAGTTTAACAAGCTTGTGTAATTATTCAAGCATATCAAGTATTATACTGTTATACTTTGTGCAGCTAAGTTAATGTTATGTCGAGGTCAATTAAATTTAAATAATTCTTCAGCTAGCAATAAATAAAAGTAAATATATACTCACTGCCACTCGTCCAGTTCTTCATCAGATGAGTACGCAATATACTGATTGTAGGGTTTCCGATTTGAGAGTCGTCTTGTGCTCGCCTGAGAAGCAAAAACCATGTATACAAGTTTCATATATATATATATACTGTACACAGATATTAAATATATCAGTTTATGCTTTCAGATACTAAATTCCTTCACAATGTCAGTAAAGTATCAAGAGTTTTCACATGCTTAAGCTCAATTAAGCATCACTTTTTACATAATCAAATCCTTATCACTATATCACAATCAACAAATTTAACACCCAAAATTATTAACTTTACTGTGATGTGAATTACACAAGAGTATACAGTACATTATAACCCAATGTAACCCCCCCCACCCCCCCAAAAAAAAGGTGGGTTATATTGGTGCTGCCACCTAATTGGCTGAAAAGATTGGTAAAAGACTGCCACTGGCTGTTGCGTTTGTGATGCCAATAGGCCTCTCGAAGAAGTTTGTGCTGTGAACAGATGTATTTAGTAAAGTAATTCTGGCTGGATTGACCATCTCCAGTGACACTTAAAACACTTAGTGGTTATGCACTGATGCCATAGTCCCTATGACACTGGTGCCTGTAAATATTTTCACTATATATTAGAGTGCAGTCCAACCATATCCCTTTGGGGATCAGAAATTTGGGTTCCCATTTAATTATTCTTATTTATTGATTACAACTTTCAAAGGATTACAAATCAAACTTCAATTTTGTTTACAAACTACACTAACAATTACTCTTGAGTAATTGTAAGTGCACCTCATTCCACCAAGTATTTAACTTTAGACTGAAGACTTAATACTAATGATGTTAATTTTAGGAGAATTCATACCCTGAGCTTGGAAGGAGTATCAGCTCCACTAAAATAGTCACTTGTTAGACGGTCCCTCGAGTCTATTCCAGCAAAGAATTCACTAGCGGACGTAAACCTCTCGGCAGGTGACGACACGTCTACTCTCTCTCCTGTCGATAAAAGATTTTTCTTAGTCATACAGTACAGTACAGTATATGGTTGCTGAAGTGGTTCAGTATCATAATATATATTAATTGAGTACACATTATAATGCACCTTAAGAAAATCACAATGGTGCGATATATCAACGAGAAAATCTTTTTGGGGCAATGGGGCGACTTTAACTGGCAATTCCCCGACACCTGCCTTAATCCACCCCTGGGATTTCCCAGAACGCCAGTTCATTGCCCCAAATTGATTCTCTCATTGATACAGTATATAATGCCATTGTGATTTCTTTGCGATCTAAAGAAGGGTGGTAAGCATGTGAACACCATTATCTGCAGGCCAATCATAAAATCCTGGTTGGCACCAGTTTGGGCCTCTAGAACCTTCCAGTAAATTAGGAAGAGTTCTAGATTGGTTGGTTTTTGCCCTATTGTAGCCGAGTGGGCTAATGCAGGTTTCTGGGAATCACCAGAACCCCAATTTAAGTTACCCCAAAATGATTCTCATCATTATGTACCAGTATTGTATGTTAATTCAGGATATATCATAGTGCATTTATTAACATTCATTATCTATGAAAAAATATACAAGGTAGGCACAATAGTTTATTAGTTTTTAATATTATAATACAGTATGTATCTACATCAACTCGTCTAATTAAAGGTTAGACGAGAATCTATTGCAAAGGGTTTCACATTTTAGACTCCGTGAACTTTTTGAGAGTTGTTACGTCCTTCACAAGACTTCACACATACAGGTATCAAATCTCGCCTTGAAGATGTGATTTCTTTCAGTGCATTCCACTTATTGACTACCCAAAAGGATTTTCTTGCCCACCATTTCTATTCCAAATATCTCGGGATTTGGCTTATCTTGGGTTATCTTGGCATTTTTACACAAGCTATTAAATTTTTGCCAATTATTTTGTATAGTACAAGAAATACCTAGCTTATTAGCACATTTTAAGCTATATTGAAAGAAATTTGTCAATTTCAAGTATTTCTCCCCCCCCCCCCCTCCAAATAAACACCCAAAATATTAGCAATACAAGAGAATTGCCAATTATATTTATTTATTTATTTTTTTGGTTATGAATGCTTAAAGTAATCAGTCTTGTTGAACACAAGTCATTGAAAAATATAATCATTTATATCAGGAGACATTAAAGAAAAGATAAAATTTAAAAATTAATTTGCCTTAAAGTTGATTATCTGTTATTTTTCCATGCACTTCTCACATAATGAAAAAGTGTAACATGTACTACAAAAGTGACTACAATATTGTTTTTGCTAAAACTAAAATAAATATTTATTGTTTGGCATTTTTAAACTTCCAGTTTTTTTGTTTTTTTTAAATTGTCAAAATTCAACCAAGTACTTTATACAAAAAAAAATTATAGTATCTTTCCAATGAGGCAAAACAAATTTCTTCACAATAATATTTATTAGAGATAATATTTGTAGTACTGTATTTATATATACTGTAAATGCACAAGTATACACACTATATATACCTGGAATTTATTTGAAAACGACTAAAAGCTTGAGACAGCATCTTATCGTGTCCTAATAACTAGGAGGCCTGCTCGAGGACTGGGCCGTGGGGACCCCCGAGATGATCATCGCACAACAAGGTCCTCATAGCTTAGGCCTATTAATTCAGGCACTAGTCTTGCTGCATTTCTTAAAGCTCAGTTTCATACTCCATGAGATGCAGATACCATTCCATCTTAATCCTGCATATTCTAGTAGTTTACAAACTAGAAACATTTTCTTGAAAAGTCCTCATTTAAGTTTTTAAGTGCTATAAAAATGTCTGCTAGCTTCCCACATGCTATACATTTTATATTTTCATATACAGGAATTATATCCACTAAAATCTCTCTCTTTCCGATTCCTGTAGTTGTCTTTCCCTTATATGTAGTTTACATTTCTTCTTGTCTCTAATTTTTCCTGTCTTCCTCACTTCATCTGTCTAGACCTCTTAAGGATAGGTGTTAATTCTTAGAATTTATTTTATCAACCACCTCTTCTGTCCATGTTCAAGTGAATTTATATCCATTCTATGCTACAGAGATTGAAACTGAACTGCATAATCTAAATGGAACCTAATAAGAGTAAAAGAATGAATGTACAACATTGAATATACAATATACCTTTACCAGTTGAATTCCCTTCTTCAAATCCTGATTCTGACGATTCAACAATAGCTGGAAGATTTTTCTCTTTGGTCGGTGTGAGGAAACCAAGAACACTGTTCTTGACACTTTCGGCAAGACCTCCAATACCACCATTCATGTTTATTTCTGGCCCATCATTACTGCTGATCGCTCTCAGAGAATGTGAAACTCTTGTTCTTTGTTCAGTGGCTGTCACATTGGCATCCTGAAAATTAAATTATGTTACTGTAATACATAAGAACAGACAAGAACATCTGCCAAAAGAAACTCAACAATTAACAAGACATTACAATACAAAAAATGTGCAAGTTTGATTTTTTTTTTATACATAATTTACACTTTTGGAAAATCAAATCTATATTTTCACACTGCAAACCTTATGGCTTGGATTGTATAGTATATAGAGAAAATAAACTTATTGCATTTCAAAGTGATAAAATCTTATTTCTTACCACATAACATTCACTCAAAGGTTGCTAAAGTACATACAACTTGTTTGGAATCTAATCCATTCAAATCCTGTTTAATCTAGTTTGTATACATTAGAAACTAATACATTTAAAAAATAAATTTTATATTTTTGTTGTCACCAGTAAGACAATTAATTGTTGTCACAATTAATACTACAATTTATTTCTTATACAGTACCTGTATTGCTACATAATTTTAAACATTTCTAAACAAATCTAAGCCTTATAGCCTAACCCAGACTTGTGTATAAACCTAACTATATTACACAATTAGGTTTAACCTAAGCTTAGCTATATCTTTTACTTTTTTTATTTCATACAATTAATCTTCCAACATATCCATTTCTAAACTCTCAAAAACACATGCTCATCATGTGGTACATGTAATCACTGAAGTCCTACTTATACATATTGTGGAGGGAGCCACATTCAAATTGCCCGCCCAATAGTGCACTTCATACTTTAGGTGAAGATGAATCCTGATTGGTGGGTGGCAAACATGCACAGCCGCCCGCCCTATGCACATCTTAAGTAGACAAAAGACAACCCCACCTTGTTGAGCACGTACTTTATATTCCACCCACTAAATTCTAGACTACCAATATTCTGGCCGACATCGAGACTTCGCCAAACTTCATTCCACTCCTCGTCTACCCAAAAAGCTTAGACTTGCTTCAGCTACATCCCCTGAAGCCTACAGCTCAAGGCGATCAAGTTACTTGTACCTATCTTGTCTCATGTGGTCTGCCGCCGTACCTCGTAGGCGACCACCTCAACAATATTAACACTAGGACAGTTTGAGAAAAATCAGAGAAAATTACCAAAGTTAACAATGATAGACCTAAATTGACTGACTGACTATTCGATGTAATCAAAATTCATCATGATTTTGATCACACCAACATGCAAAATCACAGGACTGAATCTTTCCGAATACCAACATACTGCAGACAAAATCAGGATTATTATTATAATAGGGTCCCAGTAGTACAGGTGGTTTTATTCTTGACTCACAATCAAGAATTATGGATTCAAATCCAGGATGGGACAAATGATTGGACTCATTTCCCATCACATAATGCCTCTGTTATCTAACAGGAAATATGTACCCAGGAGTTTGCTTGTTGTGGGGGTTGCATCCTGGGCAGGGTCAATAGTTTGACCTTGTAGGGAGGAACTTGATATAAGCCTATTATGTATATTAGCACACAGGCTGCCACTCCCACCAACACCATGCATGATTATTATTCACTGTGCATTTTTTGTGAATAATTATGTATCTTGGTAGACATACAAAAACAGATGGCACAAATGAATCCCCTATAAATAGAGAATTATACATTTACTTTCATTAATTTATTTAATAGTTTTGGCTGGTTGCACTTAAGTACAGGCCTACACAAGCTAAACTATTGCTTGTATTGTGTATTCCTATTATTCTAAGCATACTTAAATTTCAAACAACAGACATCAATTCATATCTCACAAGTATAAATACTGTATTGAATCGAGCCTGGCAGCTGCAGTGGATAGCTTCCTGACCCCGGCTGACCTCCCCTAACGTAACAAATCATCTACTACCACCACCACTCTACACAACACTCCAAACTACTCATTAACAACTACAAACAGTAGCGAGAGTGGAGGTGTAAGCCGTACCTGGGAGGAGGAGAGTGTGGCCAAGTACCGTAGTGTCCCCGCTGGCCGACACCGGCGGACGGACACGACTCCGTGCCCGACATAAACAAACCGAGTTACCACCCCGCACATATTGCAACACATATTTACCTACCATCACACACCGCAGTTAACGAGCAAAGCTCCACCCTCCAAATGTACTAAACGAGCAATGCACAATTTGACCTCGGCAAGGTATGAACTTAACCAGGAGAGGCCAAGTGGAGGATTATTCCAGTTTCCCTCATATCGTTAGGGACAGGCCTAACTTGTGCACGCGCACTAGTAACCTCGTTTGTTGAAAACAAATTATTTTGTTAAACATGATAATTGCTGTTATAGTAGTTTTCTCTTCTTTCCACATTATTCAACTTTTACCAACATACTTTGAGTGAATCTAATAAAGGTAACACCACAGGTAACTACAGAATAAAAAAATATTAATATTAATAATATATACTGTAGTAATAATATTAATAATTCGTTTTGTCGGGGACATACAGCCTGCGTGTCTGTATCACTATTTGTATTTATTATTTGTGTCTGCAGAATCGAGCTTTCAGCTCTAGGACCCCGCCTTTCTAACCAATCTATTTCTCCTCTATTACAGTATATCTAATACTGAGAACTCTGAGATTTCTCTCTAATACACGTGCACAACCCCAGGACCGTTGCAGCGGTCTAACTCTCAGGTACCTATTTACTGCTAGGTGAACAGGGACATTAAGGAAAGGGAACCTGCCAAACCATTCCTGTCCCGCCCGGGATTCGACCCAGGAATTCTCGATTGTGAGATAGTGAGTACAGAGGTAATAAAGAGACGACAGATTTCTGCAACAGAAATGAAAGACATAAGAGATGTAACCATTAATCAAATGCCAGAGACCTTCATGACCAAAACAATGGCATAAACCATACAGACAAAAGTATTGTAAATATCTTTTTTCATGAATTTGGACAAAAGAGGTTCCGGTTTCTATATTCAACTTATATCAAACCCACACTTAAATATGCAGCCCCGGCATGAACCCAACTCTAAGCACAAAGCAAAAACTAAAAAGATATGCAACCAGACTCGTTCTCGAGCTGAGAGGCTGGAGCTATGAGGAAAGGCTGAAGAAACTGGAATTCATCACACAGGAGAGAAGGAATGGAACGACATGAGAACATTTCTGATTCTAAAGGAAATTTATAAAGTAGATATAAGACAACGTTCAAAGCTATGATTTGAACAGACCAAGAAGGCATTCATGGAATCAAAAGATACAAATGAATCTAACAAATGTCAGAAACAACACCGTCAGTGTTCCTTCCTCCTTCCTCCTCCTCCTCCTCTCTCTCTCTTTTTACGCGTCCTGCGTGATATGCGACTCTCCTCTACTTATATTCGTGTTTTCTTCATTTCTCTCTCTCCTATATCCTCAATAATTCTCTAATCATATTTTTTGTTATTTTCACATGGTACTTCGACAAAACCTTTCCTTTCCCTCCCCCCCCCTCCCCTAACGTTTACTTTGTTATTTTTACTCTTCTAAGCTATTTTTCTCATTCTTCCCCTTGTTTCTCTCCTTTATCCCTTACATAACTATTTGTATCCCTGCCTGCCTCCCGGTCCCTCATTACCTTCTTCCTGCGAGGTGTCCTCGTTCGACCAACCATCTCGCTGGCTCGGAGTTCTGCTTGTGGTTGTGTGTGGTTGTTGTAGTGGTGGTCTAGTGTGTGGATACCGTTGTGGTGGTGATGTTGGAGAGCGTAGTTTACGTGGTTGTGTTGCTGATAGTGGTTGTGGTGTTGCTGTTGGTGGTTGTGGTCCTGGAGACGTGTGTGGTCATGTGACAGCTCTAGGAAGGTGGTGTCATCCACGTGACTCTGGTCAGATCGCCGCCGCCGCCGACTTCGGATTCTTCTGCGAGAGGAAAAAAAATAGTTTTGTGAATTATACAATCAGTCTATATAGCCTAACATTTCACCCACGCAAAACATATTCATGGCAAGAACACTCATTCACACAACATTTTCCATAATAAAATACAACCAACATAAACTTGGTCTGTCAAAAAACAAAAACTTTAAAGACATAAAATGTTTTAAAAATATCTTGCCTGATGCAGTGTGTAGCAATGCCAGGCACTCAACCTGGCTATGTAAGGAAGCGGAACAAGTCAAGAGCAACATTCAGGCTTAAGCAGAGCGCCTGGTGTATTAAGCAGAGCGCCTGGTGCACTAAGCAGAACGCCTGGTGCATTAAGCAGAGTACCTGGTGTATTAAGCAGAGCGCCTGGTGCATTAAGCAGAGCGCCTGATGCTTACCCAGAAAGTCTTGTAAAGATCGTCAACCTCTGCCGATGATGCCATAAGGACCGATGTCAGTTGTCATATCAACGTGTATCATTTAATATTTTCAAATAACCACATAAAGGCACTAAAATTGTCCATAACTATATTCACTACCATAAAATCTAAATAAAACTAACTTTTTTCTCTCTTAGAGTTACTGGACGTGTATAAATTGTAATATAAAGCGGTGTCCTATAGATGATCACTTCAGCAAGTCTCCCCTCCCTCTCCTCATCACTCGCCCCTTCAACACATTCACGAGATCAATGAGCATCACCCTCATCATCACAGGACGCTCTGGCAGTGTATCTCTGCACCTCCCGCTGCCCTTCTTATCACTAGCCAAATGCAGAGGCTAATTACGTAGCTTGGGACGGATATGTTACTATTTTTCTCAGACTTATAAATTATTTTTTCAGCAGTTAGATTTTCATTTATCACTATGCCTTAAATGTATAACTTGTACTTATTATAAATTCCATCATATTACACAAAATATATTTATATATGAGAACTTTTGGGATGATAGGCCAGTTCACATGCCTTGTTTTTACACGTATGAAAATATGAATTTAAGTCAGTACATCTTTAGTTTTACAACGGCAGATTAAATGTTCGGCCAAAAGATGTTTCCCGAGAGTGTGTGTGTGTGTGGTTGAGAGCACATGTGTACACGGGAAGCATCCTGGCTGTCAACTGAGGCCAAGCTGTTGGCGTCGTCTGCTGCCAGCCGGCGCACGCGCACTCCACCCGCACCTTCCACACATTTCCCACGGAATAACCTAAATCCAACTTCCCTACTGCAATATATTAAACACGGTACTAAACTGCCACGCTTCTCATTTTAATACCCAATAGCAACACACCTGTACTCTAGGCAGGCAATCACAATAGATGCTAAAATATTGCATAATTCTAAACGAAACTTTCTGGCAAATGTGTGATCTTTATGGCACATGTTCAGCGTGGAGAAAGCTTTACCAATATCGTAACATAAATCAGTCATAATTCAAATAAAGATTAAAACTGATAATAATCATACATCTAACAGTTGCACTGTAATTATCAGATTTCACCAGATCAACTCAATATATAGGTAAATATTTAGCAAGAGGGCACTGTCTCTTGGGTGGCTTAATCTTCATCAATCAAGAGGGCACGTACTGGTTAGAATACCGTGCCAAATATTATATGATTCTCTTGGTAACTGTTGTTAAAGTTACTGCTAGGTTTGTGGTTGAGGCAAGGAGATAATGTTTGCCTGTCTGGTACACATAAAAGCACTTGTGAGGTGTGTTGGACATCATACGCAGACATATACATGTATATATTATACAGAGGTGATTCGTTTATAGGCGTATATATACAGTTTTTTTTAGTCCTAGACTATATTCAGAACAAAAGTGTACTTGCTGGTTGGTTATTAAGCTCTTGTGGTGGCCTTAATAGTCCTCGAGAGGTTGACAGGCCTTAAACCCTGGAGAGGTCGACAGGCCTTAAACCCCCGGCATGGGACTGCTGGCTTTGTGTGTGTGTCTCAGTGGAGATACACTGTTTGGGGGCTTTAGAGCACTTGCCCTTAGACAAGAGGGTAAGGGGAACTTAAAGACCCCAGCTGTTGGGGAGGCTCTTGGTGAGGGCTCCCCGGGGCTGACCCGGACCCCTCCTGGACTACATATCCTCCTCACCTCACGTTCCGGATTTACTCCGTGGACTCACAGGATTGGCGAAATTTACCAGCCTGGTTAACTTGTTTTCAGTGCGAAAATACTGTTCACTGAGAGGGCCTACAAATATGGTAGCGGTTTGTCTAGTCTTCAGTGCCTGAAACGCCCCGCGCGTCAGTGGCTTTGTAAGATTGTACCATTTAATCACCAAAATCAATACCCCCACAACCCATTAAACCATCTTGCATATAAATAAAGAAATAAAAATATTACTTGCGTACTGCTGTAAATTTGCATAATTAACAGCATGGATTTGCTAACCAATTGACTTCGATTTGCACAATTCTAAATTCATGGAACAATTTTATGCGAACGGTGCAATCAAACTTTGAATACTTGATGTACGTATTAGAATTTAGAATGCAGCTTTATAATACTGTACTTCGTTTACAATGTGAAGTTATTTAATTTTACTTTGGGAATTTCTTTACTCGAGTGTGATGCACGGCCCTCAAACCTGTTTGGTGTATTAAGTGTGCAGTGAGACCTTCCAAGTGTCTTGCCTGTATTTTCAAATCCGGTTTACTACCCGAGTTAAATAAGTTGTCTTTTTGTACCCTCTCAATTCCCGAGAATCTTATAGGTGGTAACCATGTCTCCTCTAACGTTTCTGTCTTAGTGACGATTCCTGTAGTCTTTCCTCGTAGCTCATAGTCTCAGCTCGGGTACTAGTCTGGTGGGTTCCTGATGGCGACACCGCAGGTGGTAACATTACTGCTGAAGCTCAACTCCAATAAAATATCACATTTCCAAATACCAAACCAAATACTTGGTTTTGGCCAAGTTTTCAAACCATTACCGACGTGAAAATGTTTACTGGATCTACGTAAGCAGATCATCAGTCTTACGTGGGGTAAGCAATCTGTCCTCTTACAAAGAACGTCGCATTTCGATCGTATTCGTTACACAAGACCAAACATTGTCATACTAGAAAATGGAAGCGGCTGGCGAACGTGACGTACTGTCCCGTTTTGTTTTGGATCCTCTGATAGGTAAGGAAAGGACACTTTAATTTGATCGTTTTCATGACGTTGGAAAACCTTAGGAGGATGGGCTGAGGCAAGAGGCTTCAGGGCGGAAACTGAGTTGATCTAGTTAAACGAACTTTGAGGTTCTATTCAGGAGCCCATTATGTGCCCCTGTAACCCTTTGGTGGGGTATGGGGGTGCTAGTTTAGTGAGGTTAATTGGGTGGGTAATAGCAGTTATTTAGAAATGGAGATCTATGGCGCAGGGAAGTGCTGCTACTGTCATCTTTGGTGAAGATTGTATACTTGCTTCATAAGGAGTTCCAATTTAGTCCACTTAATATTGACTAGACCCATCCTGTGGGCGCTGGAGTATAGATTAGTCATAGCATTGGTACATAAACTACAACCACATGTTCTTTAAGCTAAGCAGTTTACACTTGTGATAAATTAGTTAAATGTTATTTATATTTGTTTATTATGCACACTCGTGTTTAATAGAGCAAGCTTAGTAATCCACTTAGTGATGAATTGTTAGCGAGCTTCTGAGCAAGGGTTTGGGCGGTCTCAGCCTTTAATGTCAATTAGAACATTAATTCGCGTGTCTTAATCATTGATGCAAAGAGTATTTGGTTCTTATCACAAAGTATTACTTTGCGAACGAGGGCATCCGAGAATGATCCTCAGAGCGTTCGCGATCAATTAGTTTTAGGCCTAGCGTGCTCCCCTTGTGGGTACAAGAACTTCCCCTCGGTGAAGCTGACCACACCCTTCCTCTCCCTTACACTATCCTCCAGTCACCATTTTGTGTCGTCCTCTGCATCCTTATCCCTCTACATTCATAATATATGTCCTTATGGTCGTTATCCCTATATTTCCATCTTCCACCAAGTTAACATGCTTTAGTCTCCCTACTTTATCTTTGCCACCCCTCTCACTATACACCAATAACACGCACGCCATCCCTCTGTTCTCTATATTATGTTTCCATGTCTTCTTCTCCCCTTCCTCACCATACACCGTCCCTGTCTCTATCCCTCTTCTCCACTCCCTCCCTCCCTAGCGCTCTTCCTCAACACCATTAACACGTCCTCTATACATCTGGGGGATGATGGATGGAGGAAGATCTGGGGGTTGATATCACACTGAACCTGTCCTCAGAGGCCCACATCAAAAGGATATCATCAACGGCATATGCTAGATTGGCCAACGTAAGAACTGCCCTTAGAAACTTGTGTAAGGAATCGTTCAGGACCCTGTATACCACTTATGTCAGACCAATCCTGTAGTCCATACCTAGTTAAGCACAAGGCAAAGTTATAGAAGATTCAGAGGTATCCCACCAGACTAGTCCCAGACCTGAGAGGTATGAGCTACGAGGAAAGGCTAAGGAAGCTAGATCTCACGTCCCTGGAAGACAGAAGAGTAAGGAGACATGATAACCACCTACAAAATTCTCAGGGGAATTGACATGGTGGACAAAGACAAACTACTTAGCACGGGTGGAACACGAACAAGGGGACACAGGTGGAAACTTAGGACCCAGATAATCCAGAGAGACATTACAAAGAATTGTTTCAGTGTCAGAGTAGTTATAACAGATGTAATGCATTAAGCAGTGATGTGATAGAGGCTGACTCCATACACAGTTTCAAATATAGATTTGATAGAGCCCAGCAGGCTTGAATCTCTACACCAGTTGATTGACAGTTGAGAGGCGGGATCAAAGAGCCAGAGCTCAACCCCCGCAAGCATAACTAGGCGAGTACATCAGGATGCACGCCCTCCCCTCCCCCCCCCACTACCTCTGGAGTCAAAATAAACACGCTGGGGGCGTGACTACAATTTTCCCGCCACATCTGCTTTCGCTCCCTCCTAGAAGCAGACTGGTGGGGAGGAGAGGGAAGACTATGCAAGATTGCATGCAGAGTACCAGTAGTTAGTACCTCTGCATGCAAGAACAACATGCACAGGTACCCCGAAGTGGAAATATTGTTTCCCTCTCTTTTTTTCTTGCAGTGTATCTTACCCATTTTCCAGCCCTCCTTCCTTTGCTTCCTCGATAGCTCCATCCTGTTACTCTCTCAGTGGTTACCTCCACCAGTAACGCTGCTCTCAGTCATTCTCTTGCGGGTTACAAGATTCTCACTCTCAGCACTTTCTACCGTCTCTCCCTACTTCAACCACTTCCTCATTTAATTCACCTGTCATGAGATCCCCTAATATGGGCCATTCTTTCTTATTACTTCTTTCACACCCGTAACTATCTTACCAAGACTGTAACTTGCTTAGCTAAAGGAATGTTGGGGTTCGGTTTCGGAGCCCATTATCAACGCATGATGTATGACGTAATGTCAATTTGCATCATGTCAATTTTAGAAGTGATTTTAGTTTACACTTGTGATAAATTAGTTAAATGTTATTTTTATTTGTTTATCATGCACAGTCGTGTTTAATTGAGCAAGCTTAGTAATCCACTTGGAGTGATGAATTGTTAGCGAGCTTCCGAGCAAGAGTTTGGGCGGTCTCAGCTTTTAATGTCAATTAGGATAATAATTCGCGTCTTAATCATTGATGCAAAGAGTGTTTAGTTCTTATCACAAAGTATTTGCGAACGAGGGCATCCGAGAAAGATCCTCAGAGCGTTCGCGATCAATTAGTTTTAGGCCTTGCGTGCTCCCCTTGTTGGTACAAGAACTTCCCCTCAGTGAAGCTGACCACACCCTTCCTCTCCCTTACACTAAGCAAGTCCTTCACTCACCATTTTGTGTCGTCCTCTGCATCCTTATCCCTCTACATTCATAATACATGGCCTTATGGTCCTTACTCCTATATTTCCATCTTCCACCAAGTTAACCTCCTTCAGTCTCCCT